TTACAGTTTTTATATCATATCGTCAACTAGACTCATTAAGCTTCAATTTAACATATGAAGCATACCGTTATCCTTAAAAATACGGATGATATGTTTTTTTTTAAAATTTCGTATTATTTTGACTTATAAATTTGGCAATTTCATCTTTAATAATTTTTTTCTGGAAATTTCAATAATATCACCTTATAGTTTTTATATCATATCATAAACTAGACTCAATAAGCCTCAATTTAACATATGAAGCATACCGTTATCTTCAAAAATATGGATGATATGATCTTTTGAAAATTTCGTATTATTTTGACTTATAAATTTGGCAATTTCATCTTTAATAATTTTTTTCTGGAAATTTCAATAGTATTACCTTATAGTTTTTATATCATATCATAAACTAGACTCAATAAGCTTCAATTTAACATATGAAGCATATCGTTATCTTTAAAAATACGGATGATATGTTTTTTTGAAAATTTCATATTATATTGATTTATAAATATGGCAATTTCATCTTTAATAATTTTTTTCTGGAAATTTCAATAATATTACCTTATAGTTTTTATATCATATCATAAACTAGAGTCATTAAGCTTCAATTTAACATATGAAGCATACCGTTATCCTTAAAAATACCGACGATATCATTTTTTGATAAATTCGTATTATTTTGATTTATAAATTTAACAGTTTCTTCTTTAATAATTTTTTTCTGGAAATTTCAATAATATTACCTTATAGTTTTTATATCATATCATCAACTAGACTCATTAAGCCTCAATTTAACATATGAAGCATACCGTTATCTTAAAAAATACGGATGATATGATTTTTTTAAAAATTCGTATTATTTTTAATTTATAAATTTGACAGTTTCTTCTATACTGATCTTTTTCTGGAAATTTCAATAATATTACCTTATTGTTTTTATATCATATCATAAACTAGACTCAATAAGCTTCAATTTAACATATGAAGCATAACGTTATCCTTAAAAATACGGATGATATATTTTTTTGAAAATTTCGTATTATTTTGACTTATAAATTTGGCAATTTCATCTTTAATAATTTTTTTCTGGAAATTTCAATAATATTACCTTATAGTTTTTATATCATATCATCAACTAGACTCATTAAGCTTCAATTTAACATATGAAGCATACCGTTATCCTTAAAAATACGGATGATCTGATTTTTTGAAAATGTCGTATTATTTTGATTTATAAATTTGGCAATTTCATCTTTAATAATTTTTTCCTGGAAATTTCAATAATATTACCTTATAGTTTTTATATTATATCATAAACTAGAGTCATTAAGCTTCAATTTAACATATGAAGCATACCGCTATCTTCAAAAATATGGATGATATGATTTTTTGAAAATTTCGTATTATTTTTAATTTATAAATTTGATAATTTCTTCTTTAATAATTTTTCCCTGGAAATTTCAATAATATTACCTTATAGTTTTTATATAATGTCATAAACTAGAGTCATTAAGCTTCAATTTAACATATGAAGCATACCGTTATCCTTAAAAATACCGATGATATCATTTTTTGATAATTTCGTATTATTTTGATTTATAAATTTAACAGTTTCTTCTTTAATAATTTTTTTCTGGAAATTTCAATAATATTACCTTATTGTTTTTATATCATATCATAAACTAGACTCAATAAGCTTCAATTTAACATATGAAGCATACCGTTATCCTTAAAAATACGGATGATATATTTTTTTGAAAATTTCGTATTATTTTGACTTATAAATTTGGCAATTTCATTTTTAATAATTTTTTTCTGGAAATTTTAATAATATTACCTTATTGTTTTTATATCATATCATAAACTAGACTCAATAACCTCCAATTTAACATATGAAGCATATCGTTATCTGTAATAATACGGATTATATGTTTTTTTGAAAATTTCGTATTATTTAGATTTATAAATTTGACAATATCATCTTTAATAACTTTTTCCTGGAAATTTCAATAATGTTACCTTATAGTTTTTATATCATATCATAAACTAGAGTCATTAAGCTTCAATTTAACATATGAAGCATACCGTTATCCTTAAAAATACCGATGATATCATTTTTTGATAATTTCGTATTATTTTGATTTATAAATTTAACAGTTTCTTTTTTAATAATTTTTTGCTGGAAATTTCAATAATATTACGATATAGTTTTTATATCATATCATCAACTAGAGTCATTAAGCTGCAATTTAACATATGAAGCATACCGCTATCTTCAAAAATATGGATGATATCATTTTTTGATAATTTCGTATTATTTTTATTTATAAATTTAACAGTTTTTTCTTTAATAATTTTTTTCTGGAAATTTCAATAATATTACCTTATAGTTTTTATATCATATCATTAGAGTCATTAAGCTTCAATTTAACATATGAAGCATACGGTTATCCTTAAAAATACCGTTGATATCATTTTTTGATAATTTCGTATTATTTTGATTTATAAATTTAACAGTTTCTTCTTTAATAATTTTTTCCTGGAAATTTCAATAATATTATAATATAGTTTTTATATCATATCATAAACTAGAATCTTTAAGCTACAATTTAACATATCAAGCATGCCGTTATCTATAATAATACGGATGATATGATTTCTTGAAAATTTCGTATTATTTTTAATTTATAAATTTGACAATTTCTTCTTTAATAATTATTTCCTGGAAATTTCAATAATATTACCTTATAGTTTTTATATCATATCATAAACCAGACTTTTTCCCTGGAAATTTCAATAATATTACCTTATAGTTTTTATATCATATCATAAACTAGAGTCATTAAGCTTCAATTTAACATATGAAGCATACGGTTATCCTTAAAAATACCGTTGATATCATTTTTTGATAATTTCGTATTATTTTGATTTATAAATTTAACAGTTTCTTCTTTAATAATTATTTCCTGGAAATTTCAATAATATTACCTTATAGTTTTTATATTATATCATAAACTAGAGTCATTCAGCTTCAATTTAACATATGAAGCATACCGTTATCTTCAAAAATATGGATGATATGATTTTTTGAAAATTTCGTATTATTTTTAATTTATAAATTTACGTATTATTTTGATTTATAAATTTAACAGTTTCTTCTTTAATAATTTTTTTCTGGAAATTTCAATAATATTACCTTATAGTTTTTATATCATATCATCAACTAGACTCATTAAGCTTCAATTTAACATATGAAGCATACCGTTATCCTTAAAAATACGGATGATATATTTTTTTGAAAATTTCATATTATTTTGACTTATAAATTTGGCAATTTCATCTTTAATAATTTTTTCCTGGAAATTTCAATAATATTACCTTATTGTTTTTATATCATATCATAAACTAGACTCAATAAGCTTCAATTTAAAATATGAAGCATAACGTTATCCTTAATAATACGGATGATATGATTTCCAAAAAGGAGGAGAACTCTTCTTTACGGTGTAACGAATGTTATGTCTAACACAAGATTCATGGACAAAAGTGGGTATATTTTTGGATCGTTTTCGGTAAAGATTAATACCACATATTTCATGGTACTCGAAAAAATTACTCCCTCGGAGTCGTTACAGACGCCGCTTCCTGTGTAATAGAACTACGCACCCCGTTATAGGGGTCCTTAATTGCACCGTAGCCATACAAACAGCACTTAGCGACGTCCGATGTCGTTAAATCCTCGTTTAGACCGAATCAATAAAATATATTAAGTTTTTAGCGCTACGGCTCGACTACCGATGCCATTAAAGATGCATGAGCTGGTAATGCGACCGAGAGTCCGTTTAACTTTAAAATTGATGGCATCGGTTGAATTTTCGGCTATCTCGATTTAAACGAATTGTCACTACCCCATAGTCATTTAAACCGACATTATAATGGAAAAGAAAAAACGAAAAGATATCTGCATTGCCTAACAACGTTTGATGTAAATTTTAGTCTTAATGAACGTTTTGGCGTTGACACCATTTCGATTTATAGTTGTTAGATGGTGAGGCGCGTGTGAACCTACCTCACCTGTGCAGAGAGCGAATATAGGTTAAGTGGTGCGTTTGAGTAGAGCGATGATGGCCATTCGCCCGTACACCCGACGCTCCTTCAACCGAATTATCTACTCGAATTGAATTCTGATGGGGTTCGGCGTGGCCGGTGCTTACAGGGCACACGGAGGCGGAAGTAATCTTCGAAACGACGATGTCGCCGCTGGGTCCTTCTCAATAAGAATTAGTCACAGATGCGCGATCCGACATCAAATGTACAAAACTTTTATAACACAATTTAGATCCAACTAAAAATTTTATAAAGTTATGATTCTGTTCCTAAAAAGTTGTAGCAAATTGTACCCTCAGCACAATCGTCTGCAACATTTTTTGCCATCTACAGAACTATCGTTTAAAACGACAGCTCCTCTTGTTGGCTTCCTCTTCTTTTCTGCTAGTCGCTTATATTTTTGGCAAGCACTATCGTATCGTCTGCACAACGGAGATTATTCATCAATCGTTTATGATGGCATCAAATATTACTATGAATAGTAATTGTGACAATACTCCCTTTGAAATAGCTACTTGTTGTGATGTCTCATCATTTACTCGAACTTCCTTATCGTTGTTTGCAATCGAAGATATTTTTAGAAATTATTTAGGTTTCTCCTGAAGATGGTCTGTAGATTGAAACCGGCTGAAGAAAGAAACAAAAATTACAACTTCTTAATTTATATAGTTTTTAATTAATATAAAAAAATGTTTAAAACACGTTTAAAATCGCACAATATCCAATAAACAATTTTCTAACTCCATTAATTAAATTCAAATTAATTTTAAATCGGATATAAATTGAGTTGTTTTTCAAGTTTAGTGGCATTTAAATAAGTCATTCAGTAGGTATAACGTTAAAAGAGAAAGTTGTGAATCAAAGAAATAAATTTTCAAATTTATTTCTGTTTCTTCCATTCTAATCGATTTTTTTTCTTTAATTTGACGAAACGAGAAGATTGTTTAAAACCTGTCTTCATGAAGGTTTCAAATAAAAACAACGAATCGAGGAATCCACGGACTAACCGACAGGTTTTTAGTTTCTCGGTCGATCCGTTCGGTTTCACAACACAATGTCTTTGTTATTAGCATACGTGGTTTTTAAATATATGACATTTACAACAATTGGTGAGTATTTAATTATCTTTGAATTTCATTATATTCATTATATTATTATTGTTTTAGGTCAACAACTTAGCCTTCCAGTTAATTCTAGGTGTTTATTATATAACGGTGATATCGGGGTATGCAAAAGAGTCGATTTTTGCGCATCAGCAAGAGAAATGTTGTTAAATCATGAACGACCGATTGTGTGTAGTTTCGAAGAAACATCTCCTTTTATACCGATCGTTTGTTGCGTACCAGAAAATGATTTACCTTATGATCCCACCCTTGCGACGTTTACTTTTAAACCAACCACTTCAATTCCAAATTTAAATGAATCAAAAGAAAATAATAGGGACCTAAATCAAGCTAGTGATGCAACAACTCGTATTGATGGCCAAAAAAGCGCTGAAAGTAATTTGTTAAAAATTATTTAACTTAATAATTTAATAACTTATTTTAGAATGCAGAGAATATAAAAGTCTCGAATACAAATTTCCTGATAAATCTGTATTGACAACAACAACAACACCAGCGCCGTATCAAGAAGTTCTTATTAACCCCCATAAATTTATAACTGGGGGAATTGATGCGTTACCTTTAGAGTTTCCCCATGTTGCTTTGTTGGGGTATGGGGATCCAAATGATATTCATTGGCTCTCAGGGGGTGGCTTAATAAGCGAAAACTTCATTTTAACAGCAGCTCATTGTTTATCAGCCGATTTATAGTAACACTTTCTTATTAAAACAATTTTATTATTAATCCCATTTTTTTTTAGTGGAACAGTTAAATACGTTCGTTTAGGTGATTTAGATATTCGCTCAAACGACGATGACGCATTTCCTGTAGAATACGAAGTTGCAGAAGTTTTCGAATTTCCTGAATATCGCCCGGATAGTAAATATCACGATATAGGGTTGGTTCGATTAAAAAAGAACGTTGATTTTAATGCGTATATAAAACCGGCCTGTATTTATGTGCCAAGGGAGTTCCCAAAAAATGTACGATTTATTGTGGCGGGATGGGGGAGGGTTTATTTCGGGGGGACTCATCCCAATAATTTGCAAAAAGTTGAATTAAATATTACGGAGATTGAAACTTGTTCTAAAACTTATAGTAGGCAAACTAACGGATTGGAAAATGGGGTGAATCTTGATACGCAGATTTGTGCTGAAGGAGCTGACCCAGGTGGAGATACTTGCCAAGTAAATTTTTTATTATCTATAACATTAATTGTTATTTAAAATCATTATTTTTTTTGTAATAGGGTGATTCGGGGACACCTTTAAATTTTTTTGAGTCACAATTGTATCAAATTGTGGGAGTTACATCGTTTGGGATAAATTGTGGTATTGCACCGGCGATTTATACGAGAGTGTCTTATTATATTAATTGGATTGAAGGAATTGTATGGCCTTAAAATGTTTTATAACAATATTAAGATTTTTTTCAATAAAGTAAATTTCAATTGATTTTTCCTTGTGGAGATTTGTCACTATAATAAGTGAAAAAAATGATTTAAGTCCTACTTCAGCAACAGACTACATATCCCTAAGTGTCTAAAGATATACCAGTTTATAGTGATATAGCATAAACTAAAAAATTTTTTTGTTAATAAAATCAACTATAACATAAGTACTATAAGTGACAAGGAAAGACGTTATGAATAAAAAATGTTGCTAATGTATCAAGAAATCATAATCCGTTATTATTTCATATTTATCTATCACCAATTTTTAATGATATACAGGGTGATTCTCAAGTTATACGCATAAATTTGAAAATCGGCAGAAAATCAATCCGAGCGAGTATTTTCCGCGATGAACTTTTCTTCTCAACGGTTTTGTTTCGTTTTGTTTTTGAAATCGGGATAAACCGACTGGACGAATTTAATTAAATTTCATTTACGGTCGCAGACCGGTCACCGGAGATAACAGGCTCTGTACGGTAATGCAGCAATAATTAAATTTGTACATCAATAGGTTGGAGGAGGCGGCGGCAGTGCCGTGCATAGTTGCAACCGCCCCCCAAATCGATAGCCGAATAAACGATAGCAATTAAAATATGCGAGCGACCCCTAGTTTTTGCAGTTGTTGTTGTCATAGGCGGCGCTGCGTGCGTTTCACAGCCGCCCATTTTTCCCGATTACTAAACAAATACGAATAAATTACGACGGGGGATGCTGGGGGAGGCGCTAATATGAACCCTGTTCGCTAGGGATTCGCAGAACCAGTGGTCCGCACCGTTTTACCCGTAATTGTTTCCGGCAGTTCTCCAGCCGGAAGTAACGTACTGCGACTTGCAGCTCTATTTTATTCAACATTAAATTGAATATGGAAATGGCTAAATATTTAACAAATTTTTTTTTCTAGGAATAAATAAAAATTCCTCGTGTAACATACCGAGCAAAGCAAGTTTAATGTAGTATATAGGAAAGGGTGTGGAGTATGTGGAGATTGAAGTCGACGTCTGCACAAAACTTGCGCATAGTACACAGACTGGTTGCATAAACAGTTTCGAATTCGGTGCTGGCCGTGGGGCGCAAGGGTAAGTTCTCAATTCCCAAATGCAGTTTCGCCGGGAGCCCGGAAGTTGGAGTTTCTTTTCTTAGCGACGCGCGCCGGGACTTGTGTCCATTCAGGCGGATTAACTTCGATGTCCGCGCCGCTCCGTTCCTCCTTGAGGGGCGACCTTTGACTTTTCGAAACGAATGGGGCGCAATTATCGTTCTTATTCTGCCGGATTCGCGTCTTAGGGGTCGTCACCAATTCAATAAACCCAACTTGCTCGTCTATATCCGTGTAAATAATACAACATAATGTAAAATCTACAAATTTTATACAACCATTTATTCCGGTTAGACTGTAGTCTTCAAAAGTAAGTGATATATAGTCTTCAAAAGTGGTCAACTTGAATTGAAGATGGAAAATGAGGTCCAGAAGCACATAGTATTAGACGTTTCAAATGAATCAGCCAGAATTAGTCTTCCAGCAACAATGTCTAATGTTTTGGAAACAATATTTAGTAGTTCTCTGCCAGCAGTATTTAGTCTTTCATAGATAGTATCTATTCTAGAACCAGTATTACTTTTTGCCAGTAGTATTTTATCATCTAATCGTGTGACACCAGTATTTCCTTTAACCACACATTCCTAAGTGCTTACTTTATTACACTTATAGAGTAATTTCCTTATTACAATGAAGAATTAGCTTTAGAAAAGTTTATACAGATTATTTTAAACTTATTTGTGATAATATTAAGGGTTGAAATTTTAATAAAACTTATAAAAAGCGTAAACGCAGGATAAGATCTTTGCACGTAAGTTAAAGTGAGCGAAACATGGCATGAGTGGGCAAGTTTAAACAAGGTACATGGAATAAATTATTTATAGCAGCCCCTCGACGACGTAATTACGCGGAAACAAATGGTTCCGAACGTAATCTGATGCGGTTCTATTATGAAAAGGGGTTTCTTGAAGCCGCTCCGGGCGATTTCATTTTTCCAATCAGGCTCTCTTTCTACCCGGGACCGAAAACTTAATTCTATTTCCGTCGTGGGTAACGTATACCCGATGAGAGGTCCTGCATATCTAGGGGCGCCATCTCGTACGGAAGAACTCTTTCCACGGTAATAACCGCATTTGATATTCCAAGCGCGTCCACGGCGACATTACATTGCGCTAATGAAAATTTCCGATGGAGTCCGAGCCGGGTTAACTCAACAATTGGATCGATCCCCTGGACGTGGGATTTAATTAGATTCTTCAGTCCTGACCGCTCCCAGATCTAATTGAGATACACTAGCTTTCGTGCTATCTTTCGGGACTCAACGGGAGGTGTTATCCTGAAGAGAAACTTAGACGGTGGGGGTTTTCTTGTACATTAAGGCGCGCAATCGATTTTCCAGCTATAAATCGGCCGCCGATAAGCGAGTGGGCCGCCGCAAAACCGGGGCATAAACGCCGGTTATATTTCCAATAAACGGCCCATTCGCCGCTGCATTCGCGGAGTTAGTTTTAATCCGAGGTCGGTCGGCGAGGCGAGGCAATAATTATGAATAAGTGCCCCACAAACGGGCCGCGTGGGGCTTTCCTGTTTCGGAAACTGCAAAATTCTGCTAACGCCTACTTAATTACTGTAAATTTTCATTAAAAACTACACTTTTTTTCCCCAACGTAAAATTTTTCGAAATATTTCATTGTGTTATAAGAGACGATTATTGTTTCAATGCTGAAGCATAATGTGGAGTTTTGCATCAAAATATAGTTCTCTGCCAGCAGTATCTAATCTTTCATAGATGGTATTTACTATTCTAGATCCAGTACTACTTTTTTCCAGTAGTATTTTGTCATTTGCAACAATGTCTAGTCCTCTGCCACCAGTATTTAATTTTTAAGGACTAGTATATAATCTTTAGTCAGCATAATCTGGTATTTTATATCAAAATATAGTCTCTGCCAGCAGTATCTAATCTTTCATAGATGATATCTACTATTCTAGATTGAGTATTACTTTTTTCCAGTAGTATTTTGTCATTTGCAACAATGTCTAGTCCTCTGCCACCAGTATTTAGTTTTTAAGGACTAGTATATAATCTTTAGTCAGCATAATCTGGTATTTTACATCAAAATATAGTTCTCTGCCACCAGTATTTAGTTTTTAGGGACTAGTATCTAATCTTTTGTCAGCATAATTTGGTGTTTTACATCAAAATATAGTTCTCTGCCAGCAGTATCTAATCTTTCATAGATGGTATCTACTATTCTAGATCCAGTACTACTTTTTTCCAGTAGTATTTTGTCATTTGCAACAATGTCTAGTCCTCTGCCACCAGTATTTAGTTTTTAAGGACTAGTATATAATCTTTAGTCAGCATAATCTGGTATTTTACATCAAAATATAGTCCCTGCCAGCAGTATCTAATCTTTCATAGATGGTATCTACTATTCTAGATCCAGTATTACTTTTTTCCAGTAGTATTTTGTCATTTGCAACAATGTCTAGTCCTCTGCCACCAGTATTTAGTTTTTAAGGACTAGTATATAATCTTTAGTCAGCATAATCTGGTATTTTACATCAAAATATAGTTCTCTGCCACCAGTATTTAGTTTTTAGGGACTAGTATCTAATCTTTTGTCAGCATAATTTGGTGTTTTACATCAAAATATAGTTCTCTGCCAGCAGTATCTAATCTTTCATAGATGGTATCTACTATTCTAGATCCAGTATTACTTTTTTCCAGTAGTATTTTGTCATTTGCAACAATGTCTAGTCCTCTGCCACCAGTATTTAGTTTTTAAGGACTAGTATATAATCTTTAGTCAGCATAATCTGGTATTTTACATCAAAATATAGTTCTCTGCCACCAGTATTTAGTTTTTAGGGACTAGTATCTAATCTTTTGTCAGCATAATTTGGTGTTTTACATCAAAATATAGTTCTCTGCCAGCAGTATCTAATCTTTCATAGATGGTATCTACTATTCTAGATCCAGTATTACTTTTTTCCAGTAGTATTTTGTCATTTGCAACAATGTCTAGTCCTCTGCCACCAGTATTTAGTTTTTAAGGACTAGTATATAATCTTTAGTCAGCATAATCTGGTATTTTACATCAAAATATAGTTATCTGCCAGCAGTATCTAATCTTTTGTCTTAACGCCTACTTAATTACTGTAAATTTTCATAAACGTAAAATTTTCGGAAATATTTCGTTGTCTAATAAGAGGCGATTACTGTTTCAATGGTGAAACAAGAAGCAGACGTTTGGTTGGGATGTTGTGTTCCTATAGCGTAGACCATTTCCGGCCAGGTCTCGAGTTTTGCAGGGCTGCAGTGGCGCCGCAGTCGGAAAGGTCCGGAGTAATTACAATAAATGCCCCCGACGTACATTAGGAAGAGACTAACGGCGAAACAGGGAAAAAGCCGTGAGCGTTTGTTTCAATTCGCAAAGTGCGGCCGAACACGAATTGAAATATGTAGTACCATCTAGTTAAATTTTATTAAGAAAAGAAAGATATATCTTGATCGTTGACAAGCGAAGGGATGTACGCACGTGTCGATAATTCGGTGATGTCAGCGCATAACTGGCACGTGAGCCGCGTGCAAAAGCGACAGCCGTCGAAGGCGAAGGGATACGGGCTGTCACCAAGTTAAGGAGGACGGTTCGAGGTTTAGAAACCGTCGTTCCGGGCACCTGTTACTGAAACCCCCCAAGACCTGAAGCGTTACGCCTCGACCATCAACGCGGAACGTGCACTTTTAAAGTAGAAATCAGAAGATAATTTATTCGCAATCCCGTCCGTGTACGCGCCCCCAATAAACGTGAAACCGTTGTACAACACGAGTATAAACAAGCGATCAATGATCGATTGCATCGCGGCGCCGTTAGCAGAACACTGACATAAACCGCCGGCGAAAGGGGCGAAAGGGGGCGAAAGGGGGGGGAACGGGAGGGACAGGACACGCACCCCATCTATCGGGCGCGGTACAACGTAGCGCATGTACCTATTTATATAAATGTCAGCCGCTGTTATAATTTATGTAGATATAATCGTTCGCTCGAATTGGCCTGTATCCTGCATCCATTTTCGAATAAAACTGTCAAAATTATTTATGTTGCGTGATGGCGATAGGCGCGTAATGAGTTTTATCGTCCGTTACGGTTGTAGGATTCCGACGCCGCCGTGGAAACGTGTACGAACTCGTCCAGGTGACAGCGGCCCCCACCACTTTCCAAGAGGAAGCGCGCTGGAACCTGCACAATTAGATGAAATCGTGGTTGTATATCTTAGAGTACGGGTTCGAAACGTTGTAGTAAAAAAGTTTTGGTATTTTTAACAATATTGCTCTTTTATACTTTTGCTCTCACAATCAGATGCATAAATATCGACAAAATTTCGAAAAAGTGAAATTTAGATGAAATTGTGGTTTTGCATCTTGTTAGTAGAGTACGTGATTCGGAACGTTTTAGTAAGAAAGTACGGTAATGGAAGCTATAACAGTACTCAAACGGGTGCTGTAATGAGACTCCTTACAGCATCCGATGCTGTAATGAGATTTTAGTAACATTTTATGGAACCAGTTCAAGTTGGTGACATTGGGTCATTAATTTTTCTAGTTGTCAATGTGACAATTTTTGTCTATGGATGTTTAAACACGTTCTTAGCATCGAATACAAGGTCCACAATGATGAGGACATTGAACACTGAACAATTTCTCTTATTTTGGGAGTTTTTCAGGTTACGATGGCAGGT